ACAAAAATATGCACTATATAAATTAACATGCTTACACATACACATACATATAAATGTAAACGGACACTTTGTGAATGCATAAACTTTAACTTCGGCTAATTTTCTGCTGTTTGAATGTCGAAATAACGCCGAAACTTAAACCCCTAAGTAGAATTTTCTTTTCCTCATCTTAATTTAGTAAATTTACTGATTTATAATATCAGTTTATATAGTCTATAAATATATATATATATATATATTTAAATACAGTACGTATGAACTCATCGTATGTAAAAATCCTCTCACAGAATTATTATTATTTAGATATAAATTCACTTTTATAAAATTAAATAATTAATTTACAAGGATTTTATTTTCTTAATTACTAAAATGAAAGCGAATTTTAACGCTGCGCTTGTTACACACGAACTGTAAGCATGTAAACACACGGAGTCTTTGTATAATTAACAGATTTACATGTTAATGAATGGGAGAGAGAATTCGTAAAATTCTTAATTTTCATAAGTTTTTTTTCGGTATTCATAAAGTAAAATTGGATTTTATATATTTTTCGGTGGAAGATTTTGTAGTTTCTTCCTTACATTTTACAAGGTAGATCGATAAATGGGGCTAGAGCATCGATGGCCGGTTGCACAATTATCAATAACAGATCTTCGCTGATAGTTGACATTGTATTAATTATAATTACGTGACTATTAATACTCTCAATTAACTTTCAGAGCTTGAAGGCGACTCGAAACTTTCGTCTTAAAATATATGTATATATATATATATTTCTTTTAATTAAAAGAATACGAAAATAGAATCGAGTTTGCTCTCTATTTTTCGCTTTCTGCACAAAATTTGCATTGTCGTAAATTAGCGTTTCGCATGTTTCCGCATTAAAATATTATTCCGACTTTAATTATCTCCTTTAGAAAATATAATAATAAAATGATTGTTTATGTATTTAAATATTTATATGTTTTGATATTTATTTAGTAACGAAAATAGACGGTTTAAGATCTATATTTAGAATGTTTCTAAATATAGATCGACAGCGTCGAATTACGAAATCGGTTCGACCGGGACATAATTCTCTTCAATCCTTTTCACTATAGGAGAAAAAAAAGAGGGGGGGAGACGATATGCCAGAGATAAATTATCCGAGCGGTTGAGATTTTTCTCAATCGTTTTCGAGCCTTTTTAAAGATCGCAACCGGCCGTAAGGCTCTTATTGATCGAATCGGAGCTCGACTCCACAAAAAGGTTAAAGGTCACGAAAGGAGAGGAGTGTTAGAGATTCACCGGGTGAGACACGGAGCTGGGTCAATAAAGAGCGACCTTGATAGTGAGGAGGTTATTTTTAGTACCTGGCTGCGTTCCCGAATACATTTTCACGTGACCAAACAGCGGGGGTGGTGTCCTGTCAATGCGCAGGCGCTCGACTCCGAATTTCGATACCTGCAGAGGCAAAGTCGATCGACTCGGTCACCACACAAACACATTCAATGTTTAAGGTAGGAGTGATGATGTCAGTATTTAGTTTATCCACCAGTGACGTCACTTTTTATCATACCCCATGACGTCACGGGAAGATTAATACGAATCTCTCTCTCTCTCTCTCCCCGTTTTGTTTTTAAAACAATAAATTAACAACCCAGAATACTTATCTGTTCAAAATAAACATTATTATTATTTTTTTCTTATTTTGTTAATGGTTAAGAATAAACGTTTATTTTTATAAATTATTATTTTTCCGTCATTTTTTTTCCGCTCGAGTAAACGAAAACTTGCAGATCATTCGTTTCCTTCAGGAGAAAGATGATGTAAAGATTTATATACTGTATATATACGTTCAGCGAATATATTATTTTTCTATATAATCCGAGCATCTCTTCCTCCCTTATTAAAAAAGATACGAAGGTTACACCCATTAGAAATCACTTTATACGCTCTGTCGCTCTATGGTTTTGAAATTGTTCGTTCGAATTATTACCTATTTATCCGCTATTACACTACCCAAAACATTTCCTAAACTCATTTTAATAGATACAAACGTAATAACAACCATAAGCAATCAATAAGGAAGTCGTCAGTTGTCTTAGTTACGTTTTAGCATATTGTTATTATCGTAGACAATTTAATAGTTTTATAAATATATATATATATATAAAAGTAATTACAATGTTCGGTCTTCTCGTTGTTCGGATTATTTATCAAATTCAAAAATATAAGTCACGTGGATCTTGTTTGTTTCGTCCTCTATGGCTCGAGTCCACGCTCGAATTGATACGCATTCAGGCCTCAAACTGATTGTCTTTTACGCGACTTAAAAGTATTTATTATTATTATTTTTTCTCTCGAAGAATATAAATAATTAACGTATCTCGGTAGCCAGGATTTGATTATTTCGAACTATCCATGCAATACTCTTTTAATAATGCTCTCCTCACCGACTCTCTTCTATTTTGATAAGAGAGAAAAAGGCCTTCATAATCGATGTTTTCTTTTTTTTTTTCGATTTGCGTTAACAGTTTAAAAATACGTTTTAAATGTTTTATATCCTTTATAAATTTTATAAATTAAGACGTTTCAATCGTAATCTAGATATGTTTAGAACTTGCAAGATCGTCACGAATCTCGTAACTATAGTGTGTTAATCTCCGAAAAATCTCTTTCTACAATCGTAGAAAAGAAGTTAATAAGTTTATTTCTAGAAATTATAGTAATTCCAGTAAACAAGCTTATATATATATATTTATTTAAAACGATTTAACATTGCTAATAATGAACCCCGAAGTAAATTAATACCAACATCCATTAGAGTTTGGTATTTTCCGCATTTTGTGTAAGCTAGAATCATGAAAGAATATGTGATAACTGATACTTTATATCGTTAAGATTTCCTTTTTTTATTTTTATTTTTTCTTGGTTTTACATTATCAGAAGTTTTCCTTAACTCAACTATTTCGCATGACGTAACATGCGAGAGGGGGATTCTTTCTGTCGGTGTTTTGATTTCTCAGAAAGCCAACTTTTTTTTTTTATGTATATATTCTTTTTCGTCTTCGAGGAATTATCAACCGACACCCAATTTAGATTTGAGAAAACTTTTTGTCAATATTTTAAGTTCCTTTTCTGTTTTTCATTCCGTATAATGGAGCGAATTTGATAAAATTGGCGTTTAGAATGCAGCTTGTAATATAGAAGAAAGAAGCCGTTTTATAAGCTAATTTCCTCTTTTAGAAAGTGTGTTATAGCTTAAAAATTTTATAAACAGGTGAGTTTTATAAGAAAATTAAACAAATGTATAAAATCTTATAAAGTTTAAAGGGAAGAAATATAAAGAAAAAAGAGGAGTGTAGATGGAATTGGATCCGCGCGTTTAAGAGATGCAGCATCTGTCAGCTGCACTGTTTGTTCAACTAACAGCTAGAGTTACGCGAAATTAACGAATAAAGATATAAAAAAAAAACAAGTCTTTCCTCGGCTCGAGTTTACAGAAATTAATTAGTCCAGTACCTGAGAGAATTTCTACGAACTTCCTTAACAAACTTCTCTCTCTCTCTTTCTCTCTCCTCGATATAATTTATTGATTTATTTAAATATTTCTTCAAGATTCTAGAAATTTTCCAGTTCCTACGATCAATTCTTATAGCTTTAAGTGCTAATATATTCTTCACAAATGAATGTTTACTAGAAGAAGAGTTTATAAGATAATTTAGAATGCTTAAAGTTACTCGGTAAAATTCTTAACAGTGATTATTTAATCCGTTAGCAAAGTTTTAAATAGGCATTTTCTTTTTTTTAAAAAAAAAAAAAACAAATTTTATATCGTTTATTTAACATTTTATTAGTTTAATTTGTGTTTACAGTTTGCGAATATGGCCGATTTTATTTTTTGTTTTTTTAGGGAAGGAAATGGCTAAGAATGCATAATTTTAAAGCTTTATTTTTGATTTTTAATTCTTTAAAAATAAGCAAACTGGTTTTGTTTACAGCTAAAAATCCCTTCCTTATGCTTATATTAGAGTAGACCAAACTGTAAAATAGCCTTTTGGTTTTATTATTAATGGCCTTGGATGTCGTTGGTATATTTATAATAATGAAAAATTATTATTAATTAATTTAAAATTTCAAATATATATATATATATATATATCAATTTTATAATTGAAAAAGTTTATAGCCAATTAAAACACGCGGAGAGACTTTAAAGGGAAATTACTGTTTGCGATAAATTAATCGAAGTTTTAGATATAAATGGGCGGTTTGTGGTTGGAAAAATCAATGTTATCAGTGTAACAGTGATAGATCCGAGAATATGGAAGGTATTTCCTTTTACTTGTTTATCACCGCAACTGTGTTAATAACCCGATATTTTGTAAATTCTGATCAAACCGGTCTGTCTCGTGTTCTCGGAATATCAATTCTAAGAAGGTTTGGTACAAGTCCAAATTAATTTCTGACCGAATATCACTTTTAATACTCGATTTTTTTTTTTCGTTTTAACTCGCTCCGATGGGAGTAAATCTCTGTTTAGTCAAATTACTTCCGATGTTTTCGGAAGTGATAAAGTTAGAGACGTCACAACATTAATTTTAAATATTTATTCTAATATTAGATGCGCTCCGTCGTAAATTTCATGGTCGTCACGTCACGTCACGAAACGTAAAAAATTCACGTTTTGCTAGCCGCTTCGGATCAAAGCGGTTTGGAGGGCGTGGAGGGAATTGATCGCGCACGTGAGACTGACCTAGTTTTGCCCAAATGGCAACACCCAAGTCACGTGGCTCGATTTTTTGATGGACATCGTTGAACTTGATTCGATATTATTCAAAATAACAAAGAATTTTCGAGTAGTAAAGTAAGTCAAGGATTAGTTAGTTACATTGATTTCGAGAATTATATATATACACATATATATATATTTTAACGTGGGTCGTAACAGTATTTGGGCGTCTTGAATGACGCTATGTAATTGTTGTATAGGCCCGTATAAACGAGGATATTATTGGTTAATTACCGATTTTTATCTTTATATTTATTCGTTCGAAAATATATGCGGTAAAAAAGACACTCGTTTCTCTTGCGTGATGTCTCTCATTTACCATAATGTTTCGTGACGTTACTTTTAATAGTTAAGCCAGTCTGATTTTTTAATGTGTTTACTTGATGTCTCCTTCTGTAAGCCCTTTTAGCCATTCTTTTTCTTTTTTTTCCGTCTTGTAAATCTGTTTATTAAAAAAAAAAATACACAAAAATTAATTAACATTTCTATACGAAATGTAGATTTATTTAGCAAAATTTAAAATACAGTACTAAGGTCATTAATATTGTATATGTATAGACTATTATCATGTAAATCCTAATATAATTAAAGGTATTCAAACGAGAAAACCTTTATTAAATAATATAAATTCATTACAAGAGCTTAAAATAAAATCCTCAAAATAAAAATTTAAATATTTATACAAGAATTAATTATTATTATTATTATTCCCTTTCGATACTTCTCTGCAATACTTTATATATCGTTTCAATAATAATATTTACGATTGTAATCATTTAGCGTTTAAATTAAATAGAAATATGTACAAAAATAAGAATTCTTTGTAGCACTTTATCTTTATATATATATATATATATATTAAATATATTTATAAATGTATATAATTAAAATTATAAAAAAGAGCGTAACTTATAATCAGCTTTACCTAAAATTTCCTTGTTTTAAGATCAGTGGACATGTGATAAAATACGCAAATTCTAATGAATACAAAGAAATTACAGCTTAATTTGCGTGACCACTAACAGTAAATAGCGTAATTTTATACAGGCTAGTTTTTGATTGACAAAAAATGTCTAATCTGATGTCTAGACAACAACATGTTTCTAGGCATCACTTAAGATCAGAATTAGATAGATATAAGCATTAGCGGGTGCAGAAATCTTAAGAGGGGTTACAGAAAGGAAAGAGCATGCCTAACAAAAATTTGTTACTACCTGATGTACCCGGCTTTACTCGAAAAAACCCTTAGAATGGGGGTGGCAATTGCGCCCTGCGTATCTCCTAAATCCGCCCCTGGATATACAAGTACTGTACAAACATTACTCGGTTGTAAAGGATATACGACTGTTTTTTACGATTCGAAAATTGTATAAAGAAGTACAGTGTATAGAAGCCGTTCAGATTGATGTTTTTTTTTGTCAGATGTAATCAGAAAAAATAACGCTATTCTATCCAATTCATTAGCTAAAAGACGTTTACCAGATTGTACACGTAGGAACTCCACTCCCTCACTCACTCGACAATCATCAAATACTCAATATTAACATCGCATTTTCTCTTCTCCTTCCTAACTTGGATCACGATTTTCTTACGAAGTTAAATTATTCGAGTAATTATATCGTTTTACTCTCAGAAAATTCCGCTAGAGAAAATTGCATTTACTTGGTTTTCAAAACCTCGGATCTTATTAATATAATCGCATTTATGCAATTAAAAAGATGGATAACAACATAACAACACGTACTTTAGCTTAGATTTCATAATGCAGATTGTAACAGCTATTGTATTATTATTATTGTTGTTGTTGTTATCTTTATTTTTTTTAATAACTGCCTGAAGATTATGTAAAGTATATATATATATATATATTTATTTATTTGTTTTTATTTTTTAAAATTTATTATAAAGTAAAAAGAGACTCGGTTGTTGCTATTTATAGTAAAACGATCACGTGAATCGTTCACTTTTATTTTCTAACAAATGGCACGTGCGCTCGAGTTGCTATTATTAATTTAACTTTCACTTTTTTTTTTCCTTTCTTTTTTTTTTTCATCTTCTTCTCTTTCATAAAAATACGTTCATTGATATTTTTGTTTATTAAAATTTTTAATTTAATTCTTATTCCAGCGATTTGTTTAAAATGAGTAAATTTCTTCCTGAAAGTAATTTTAATTGACATACTTTTTTGTTTTAATTAAAAAGTAAGAGTTAAACGGTGCCAATTAAAAATCTATATTGATTATTTTATAGATTACATTCGTTATTATAATAAATTACTATTTTATAATATATATTTTCTATCGATTTTTATGGGGTTCGTATTTCAAAGAGAGCATTTCTTGTGAAAAAAAAATTGATATCGAGTTAAAAATAAGACTTTACGTATGAAGTAATTAATAAAATCAAATTATTTAGAGATATTTAATTAAATTATATAAATAATAAACAACGTATTATATTACCTTAGCGTAGGCTTTAAAGAATTTCAATTTAAAAAATACTCTATCGATCGTATAGATTATTACTTGTTTATGTATTGTAAATATATATGACACGTAAACAATGATTTGAAATTTGTAAATATTAAGTGCATAGTAATGTGAATTTATAACACAATGATAACAGCGGAATTTTGCAAACGGTACCGATGAACTTTATTATTATTATTATTATTATTTAGTTTTTTATAATGTTGTATCAATTATATAGTAAGAAGCATGACTTTAGCTAGACAGACAATGACTGGGGAGAGATTAGAAATGATTTCCTAATCTCATAAAATGCTTTTATATATTCCCCTTTTCTCCCAGGATTATTTAAACGTATTTTATTTTATAAATCCGGAAGAGAGTGGGGGGATTAAAAATTTCAGGAGGGAGGAACTTTAATAAGAATATAGGATTATGGACAGAATCCTTAATCCACTAAGAGCTAAAGAGATCCAATGGAATACCACACAGGAAAATCATTAACTTAATGCGCTTTACTATCACAGGGGAGCTTTGTAATCACTTTAGGCTCGACTGCTAGCCACATAAGGGCGATAAAAAAGCGATTTAATAAAAGCGAGAATTCGCTAACCAAAATACATTAAAAACAAGACGGATGAAAAAAAAAGGCCGTCGGTTTGTCCGTCCTCTCGCGGGACACACTGATTGTGAAAGACTTGTTTGTTCGGTTTCGGGTAGTAAAAAATCCCCCTTTCCCCGTCAAGGAAAGTATTTAGCTGTCCTGACGCTAACTAATAAAGTAAGGAGAGGCTAAACGTTCCGCATTCGAACAAGGATGTCGGTGACGTAACGAGTGACGTCAACGTGATGTCAGACAATCGGGTACGGTTACTATGACGACCAAGGACAAGATGGAGTGTGGGCAGTGGACGTGACGGCATTTCTCCACCCCGGCGAAGAAGGGGTAGGACGAAGGTTCATCGCTGCGAATATACAATCAGCGATTCTCACGTTTAATTGTAATTACCTAAAGCGATTAAAGGTATTTTTAACTTATAAAAATTTTAACTTTTACGCGGGAGATAATTTATTTTACGCCCCCCTGCGAGAAATTAGGCCTGTATATCGGCTCGGATTTTTTCTTTTTCCAGGTGGAAGAAAGTAACTCGAGGGATTTGGCGGATAGTTTGGACGAAAGCAGGTGCTTGATGAACAATCGCGAATTAGCCCTTTTGGCTTTTTTTTTTCCTTTAAGGGGGCTTACAAACACCAGACCCCTATCCCTGTTTACAAAACATCCCCATTGTTGATATGTTTTTGGCGGATTGTTTGTAAGAACCGAGGGGGTCAAAGGTCGATTGTTGTTGGTTCCTAACATCTGTCAGGCACACGTGAGGAGAAAAAAGCGCCTTGTTTTCTTCAAAAACTACTTCGCAGACGTGTTCTGGCCGAGTTCCAATGTTTGGAATCGAATCCCAAACAGGCACGGAAGGAGACGGATAACTTGAGTTTTTGCCTTAAATGATCGTGTCAAAAATATCTGTTCGGTGTCTAATTATAGAATTAAAACAATAGTTTCTCGGATCTCGCCTTATTTTTCTGGTAGAACAATATTGTTTACGACGAAGGAAGGTAAAGAAAGAAGAAAAAAAACAATGACTGTACGCCCACGTCGTGTTTCTGCGCCGATTAACACCGAGCGAAAGCACGTTTTGAACGTATGATGAACACAGGATATTGCCGAAATAAATGTAATATTATAATCTCATCAACATCGCAACCCACTCCTACCTGGCTGCTGGGGGAAAGGAAGCGAAGTCGCACGTAATGACATTTTGTCATGCGCCCCCGTCATAGTTGCCATGGAGACGCTGCGTTTCTCACCTGGCGCCCGTCCAACTCTCACCTGTACTGACGTGGGTGAGAGGTGATCTTTCGCCTCCCCCTAAATGTAATGTGGGTACGGTCACACGAGTGCTCACGGTCGTTACGTCATGCATACTAATTACATCGCTTCGTAATTCGAATCCAAGATTCGAACCCGCAAGCCCAAAGCGCCATCTATCGATTCCAAGGTTTAAAAATAACCCCCCCCCAACGACAGACCAGAAAGAATAGGTCTGTAGAGAAGAAGGACTTTAAAAAAATCTGTTTACGAGTTGATTAGCGTAGAAGTAAACCCGTTTTGTGATATTCCCCCTTCTCCTTCTCCTCCTCCTCCTCCTTCTTCTTCTTCCCACTGTTTTTGCCACCATCTTGTGTAAGCCTGAAGCTTCGACATTTGCACGGTCGCTTCTCGGTAAACAAAAATTTCGCGTGGATGGACGAGTAAGCAGAAAGGCTCAAACACAAGAGCAACTTTAAGAGAATCGATCGATAGTTTCGTTTCTTGCGAACCCGATAGGCGTATTTTCTATGACGGAACACAAATTTTTTTGGGGAGGAGAAAAAAAAAATGGTAGCCAAATTAACTGGCACGCGTGAAGAAGACGTTACGATTTCGAAACGTGAAAGTAAAAACTCAATTAAAAAGTAGCCTGTTCGATGGGGTAGAGGTAGGAAAACATGTCACAATTACACTTTCCGTTCAGGTAGAAGCTGCCCCATCGTGGCCCGACCTTGACTGACAGCAGAGATAAGTGCCGAGGGGTTGTTCGAGATGCGAAGAAATAAAAACGAATGATACAAAACTAAGGTTTCCCAAGTTGCCAAGGTCGATGTAATGTCGCTGCAAGGGTTGCCCAATCAAGGTCACGGGCGGTTAGTGTCGCCATCTGTCATCGAAATCGCTAACTTTCGTGGGTTGTCCCCCTTCTTTTTTTTTTAATATATTTTTTTCTTTACATCTTCGAGAAAAATTCTGTAGCAATAGTAAAAATTTCGCACGTGCTAATATACTAAAGCAATTAGCTATAAACCGAATGATAAAAAGCGGCGATAGCATTGGGTGTAATGATGATAATAATATTTAATGGGGTAGAATTAATATAAA